ACAGAAATCCTAAACTGTTTCCTGTCCCCCCCTCCCCCTTACCAATAGAAATGGCATGTCAGTATTAAACACTTCAGACTAATTTTTCATTTGGTATTTCCTATTTTTTTGTTGGTAGAGTCATTTTTTTGAGTCCATGATTTTACTAGCAACCAAATCAGTTTCTTATTTTTGTGCTTTTCAACTTTATTGTTTCCACTCTGCATGGAGAGGACCAACCATTTTTTTTATCATATACAGGTACATGCAGTGTGAAATTCAGAGATTCCACTGCAAATGTTTTCTTCTCAGAAATTCGATTAATGGTGCATTCTTCAAAGGACTTTCCTGTTATTTTGATTGAATCAATTCTGTGTGGACATTCTTGCCATTTTGATTTTAACTTATATTCAAAGAGTTTATTGTATTTATTCAAATAATTTGTTCTTTTCATTTTTGTGTCAATGTCTTCCATTTTTCTTTGTGTGTTTTTTCTTCACTGTACATTGCTGTCTCTTGTTTAACAGTGATTGAATCCATTGTTTTGACCATATTTTCATCCAAAATCATCCTCAAGGCTGAGATTGCATTTTTGTACAGCAAATCTGTAGTCATATACATACAGATAGGTCAAACTCTTATCATTGAAGATTTATATGAACACTAATAATTTGAAGGCCAACACCACATCAGGTAAAGTCGTTTTATAGACGGTCATAAATAAATAGTCACGTACAGCAATTAAAATGTCCATTCAAGTCTCCTGATTAAGATAATCTGATTTACAGTCTAAAACAGTTTCTTCCAGTTCAACTGGCCAATGCAAGTTACTGCCATTTTTATTGGCTGTCAAGTGTTGCTAAATTTTCAGTTCATTTTTCCAACAATCATTACTCTCTTCAAATTTGGGTGGATTTTGATATTTTCTTGACTAAACTCTTGAAAGAGAAAAAACAAAATACTTAAGAGAGAATTCACAATGACAAGCTTTTCTAGCAATTCTAGTAATTCTAGCAATTCTAGTAATTCTATGTGGAGTAATTAGTCATGGTTAAATGCAAGATAAGTAACAGAACTTTCCAGCAAACAGAATTGGCAAAGTTTGCAATAACAAGAAAAATAAAGAACAAGGCAAAAAATAATATAAAACAAGCAAACAATATATGCAAAGCAAATTAACAGTAATAAGGCAAAAAGTTCACAATCTAAGAATTGGGGTTGACACACAAAAGCAAATTCAGACAAGCAAACATAATGTTCTGACTTCAAGACAAGACAGACTGTGACCATGTCAGATGTAACCGAGAACCGGTCTATTTTATTGGCTATGAAAAAATCCTAGCATGTATTTGTGCGCTTTTGCCTATAAATAGGGGATGGTCGATGTTCTGCAGTCATCTGTATTCAATTGAAACCAACATTCCACAAAGATTGACCAAGACAAACTGAATTAATTTGTAGAGTCCCAAAAGAAGTCTTTTCAAAGAAACAAAGTAGGAAGCTTCCACAATATAAATTTATTATTTAGTTTTGTCAATTTGTTAAAACTGAAATGTTAGAAACTTTGCACACACACACACAGAAAAAAATCTAAATAAAACAGAAAAGAAATCTGTTTTTATTGTTTTGTTATTAAACAATTTGGTACCTGTAATAAGACAAAATCCAAATGTAAAAAGGATTAAATACACAGATATGATACTCAAGATAAAATAATTCCTTAAATTCTTATGTCTTTCTAGCATCAAGTTTGTGTTTTGATCAAAATTATGAAGATATCAAAAGATTTACAATTGTTAACAGATGTCTTTATAAATCAAAAGCCGTAGACAACTATTTTAACAATTAACAATTGAAGGTCATAATGTAAACATGAAACATTATTTCTACTGGAAGATACAATTAAGTTTCCTGGGATTGTTTAAACAAAGGTTTTCACTTGAGAACATCTTTGATTATCAATTGCTCAAGTTTCATCTCCAGCCAGTGACAATATTCTGTTAGACAATCCATTCTAAAAAATTGATATTAAAGTCATAATAAAGACTGATTTTTAATCATTTCTGTCCAGATATTGTGATCAATAGTTTTCAGTGTTGCAACACCCTTGTATGGTTAAGTTTATAGGGTCATTTAATACAGGGTTCAACAGGTATATGAAAATGTAGTCTGAGTGGCCCATAAATAGAAGACAATGTGTCATGAATGAATGAAAAGTGTCACTGATGATATTGGAGTTTGAATGTGAATCTCTAGACAATGAAAATGGAGACTGCCATTTACTATAGAGATACCATGTCACTGACTGGTGATTACAATTATGTGTTTGACTATTGTGTCAATGCGGACGTTAAAGTCGAGTGTCACGTGTTTCAAGATGAATTATTACTTTTCTTAGCAGCTCTATGCAGTTGTGTATTAACTGATAACTGATCAATAATCTTTTCATTGACTCTTTACTTCTTAGCAATTCTGAGCCATCATCCATTACACCACACACACATCCAAGCTAACATCACCTGCTATTCCTAAGAAGTCACTCATCTAGGTACTGTCTAAATTCAATGCTGCTTAACTTTGCTGATCAAATGAGAACTGATGTTTCAACATAATGTAGCTGTAAGTCACCAGAACATTTCAGCACCTGAGACTTATCCATTGTATCCAGAAGAAAATTATGCCCCAGTTCAACATTTTATTACAACAGGATCCAAGTACAACTCAAGATTCATTTAATTACATCAAAGTTAAGCAATGCCAGTTAAAAGTCTTTTTCTTCTTCATTGCATCAGCAAGAGAATAATGTATGCACTTTGCAACAAATTCTCAATCTGTGTGGCTGTTTAGATTATTCAGCATCTGAGAAAAATATTCTTAATAAGTCAAGAAGCAAAGTAAAAAAAAAAGGCTGTGTGTGTGTGTGTATATAGAGTGAGAGAAATTCTCTTTGAGAATTCTGAATGTACAGATGGAATTATTATTTCTTTCTAACAAGTTACCAAATTATGATGAAAATGAAATTACCTTCAGGAAAGAGAAATCAAAATTGATTATCTACATTTTATAAAATGGCTGTCATGATACTAATGACAATCATTTATTAATATAATTAGACAACTGCAGTGGGCGGAAGTACAGTTCATATAGCCACAGTTCCTTCTGTCACTTTCTTGCATTTTCAATTAATATTAGCAAGGTTATATAGAATTGCCTGGTTTGTTAGTCAAATAGAAGGCAATTGGAACACAATGAGACTACAATGAGTTATACTATATATTATACTAAAGAAGATTTATTAGAAGATTTACTATTTGAATAGGTATAAATCATTTTTAACCAACAATTTCTTTTGTATTTGTTGTTATAAGAACCAAAGTAAAATTATTGCTGAGTGAATCAATGTCACTTTAATATGATTTGATTTTTAGAGTGTAAATGAAAATTTTAAATTTATATCTCCAACTTGATTCAAAGTCATGAGACTACATTAAACTATTGCATATTATAAGAAATAAATTGTTTATAAATAATTTACTGTACATGCTACAAATTCAATTGCTTGTCAAATATTTAAATTTACTTCTGAAATACATTCTCAAAGTCAGAAAAATAAAAAAAGGGGAAAAAACAAAATGCAAAGAAAAGACTAGAGATAATTATTGTTGAAATAACTATGAAACCCCACAAATTAGGAGTGAAATTTATCAGCATTAGTATAAGATGATAAAGTCATATTTTATTGTTTATTCATGACTGCTACTTCTGTTTATTTAGAAGTGTTATGTTTATATATATATATATATGTTTTTTGTTTAACTGAATATGTAGATATTTTTTAATAGGCCCCAATAAAGCTGAGAGATGCAAAGTCTTCTTTATATATATATATATATATTAGGGCCTATTAAAAAAAATAACTATATATTCAGTTAAACAAAAAACATCCTTGGCTAACAGATTAACCGAAAATGCTTTTGAATCCACAGATCATTTGAATGGAAACTTCTTATTTACTATATGCAGAAAAAGAAATTTCTTTGAATGTAAGAAAAACATAACAAAAAGCTTCATTGCAGTGTCTTGTCAGTCATCTTCAATAAAACTTGTATGAAAGAAGGATTGCTACCCACATACACAATTATAAATCTATGTGAGTACAGAAAACTGAGTAGCAGAATTTGATAATGACATTATTATATAATTTGAAATCACTTGCTTTTTAAATTCTTCTTTCATTTGAACATGCAGTTATGCTGACAGAGAATTTATGAATAAGTATTTGAATTTATTATCCTAAGGTATATGAAAATTTGTTGTGAATCTGTTACAAGTTTTTAAGGACAAGACTGACCCCAAGAATAAATGATTCTTTTCCCTTTTTGTAAAAAGTATGTCTGACCTTAAAAATTGCAAATCACTTTTCTATGATAAATAAGCTGCCTTAACATAGGGTTTTCATTTTAACATCTCTTGTAAAACAAAGGAAGGTATTCTTGTCTCAGAAGGGTTAAAACTAAATCTACCAATTAGTCAGACATTTCTACCTCTAACCCTGACAGGTGCTACAGAAAATATTGGAATGGAAATATTAAAACAAACATTTGATGTTGTTTACACAGATGTTCTTTATGAAATGCGTCGACAATAAAAACATTTTAGCAGACATTGGCTACAGCCAAGTAACCAGAAGAAAAAAAAAATCATTGAAAATTTTCTAACTCTGTTGATCTTGAAGAAAAGAGAAGGTAAACTTTTCAATCAATTGATTTGTTTTTTATGGCTTATCAACCCGTTTGCAGGTTATTTAAAACCAGAAAATATTTTTAGATTGCATTTTTGAAATAAAGATTTAATAATACAAATCCTACTAATTAATCCATAACTAGGGAGAGAAGAGGAGGATTCATAACTTTCCCCAAAAGTATTTGCATGTAAGTGTATAATGAACCCGACTGGAATTGGAACTCGGTTCTCTGATTTCCAATTCTCACATTATCCATTACACCAGCCACACATCCTAGCTTACAGCACCTGCTATTTCCAAGAGGTCACTCATCTAGTTACTGACCAGGCTCAATATTGCTTAACTTCAGTGATCATATGAAAATCAGTCCTTCAACATGATATGGGTGTAAACCCTTTGCTGTCAAAGAATAGTGGGTATCTGAAAATCACTTGTACAAAATATTAAGTTTATTTTTTCATCATGCTCAAGTCTCATTTAAAATTCAAAATCTCATTTAAATCAGATTTTCAAGATATATTCTTTGATATCCATAGTCATTTAACCACACACACACACATTATATATATATATATATATATTAGTTGTATGGATATGGCCCAGTGTCACAAACTCATATCCATACAACTGAATAGCTCTATCACTGATATTGAGCACTTTCCACTAAGTACTGCACATACAAATTAATATATATGGGCACTTACAAAATATTTATTTTTGATATTTCTGATGCTTACATTGACTAAGTTTATATCAAAATACATTACCTGTTTAAAATTTGCAAATTACTAAAAGGTAAAAAAGTACATATTTTGAACATCCAATGCAGAAGAAAATATAAATAAAAATAACATTGGAAAAAATATTCAGACACATTTCTTTTACGTTTTCATATTTAGTTGTATAGACTTGGTATGGAGACTTTTTTTTTCATAATCCTTCACAACATACTTTTGACATCTTAGCATTGAAATAGAATCATTTATCTTTGTGAGGAAGGGGTGGGTCTCTCTCATAAATTCAATCTTTCAAGTTTCACCATAAATTTTCAATTGGATTCAAATTAAAAGATTGACTCAACTTCTGCACCATAGAAAGGAGGTACAAACTCACACTCAAAACATCATGCATACATTTTTGTACATTACTGAAGGAAAGATTCTTTTATTATTGTTGTTATTATTATTTCTATTCATTATTATTCACACATCTTTTTTCTTCATGGCTGATGACCTTGGCCAACTTGTTTCATGCAAACATAGATGATACTTTTCAGAAAAATGTTCTAAAAATCTTGGTGCATTTTTTTTCAGCAAATCTGTTTACCTTATGAATTTCAAACTATTCCCATTCTGTTCACTACAAATTCTTCAACAGCTGCTCTCAAATTATCTTGTGTCTTCTTTCAACTTATCACCAGATTCACTTTCATTATGTTCTTAGCATTTTTTTTTTTAAATTATCAAAAAATTTTCCATGAACTGTCTATTCAAAGGAGGTTTTTTTTGGTAGTGCCAAACTTCTTTTACCTGGGAATTATCAATCCAATGGCCCTGACAAAGATATTTAACCTCTTGGTAAAAGTCCTGGAGCTCAAACTGTAATTATATTCTTTTGTTTGGTTTAGAGCTCCTTTTATGAGAGTGTCATTGAGAGTTGAAGTAGTGAAAGATAAATGAAAGCATCATACTCTGCAGATATAATTCCTTTAAAAAAAAAGAAAAAAATTTTATATCTTTTTTTCATTTTTAAAGAACCAAACAAGTTTTCAATTCTTTTGCAATTAAGTCATTTCTCTTTTTTTATTAAAATAAAAGCAGATACTGATTAAATGTCTATGACTAAAAGTTATATTTAAGTACCTACCACTGTGTTAGCAAGTTAATCTCTCAGTCCATTAATACTCAGTTTCTCATTATGTGCTCAACTTAGTGGCCTTGTACCAAACAAAGAAAAGTAGCCATCTTTTATGCTAAATTGTTGAATTAATTTTCAGAATTTAACACTCTTTGACTTTTGCCCCTTATTTTAAATGAAAGAATAAAGGATTTGGGTGTGGGCCTTAGTCATAGGGTCAAGCATCATCCGATTTGTTGAGGTCAATTACTGAGTCAGAGGAGATTGGTCAACTGAACTGAGTAGACATGACTAAACTGTCAGCAAACATTGCATTTTGTGCATTGCCTATGTGCACAATTCGGTACCGTTAAGTGTTAAGTAGACATATATCAAAATTTGCTATTGTAAATCTGGCGATTCTACTGTTGTATATTATTTCTCAAATCATCTGCTCATTGTAAACTTTGAAAATATTTTGTCTGTGGAGGAAGCAAAGTGATTTTGTTTGTAAGAATATAACTTATATATATTATTATATATAACTATAGCATTACAGAGGACATTAGGTTTTATTACTGTTGCTTCCAAAAACATCATTACACCAAATTTATAGACAAAACATATAGATGCAAGCTGGGATTTCTTCCTAACCAATAATATAGACCACTTCCTGGTCTCAACTAATATATATATCTATTCTTTCTTGTCTTGAAGTCAGAATACTGCAATCACTTGTCTGTATCCCCTTTTGTGCGTTGACACCATTCTTAGTTTGTGAACTTTTTGTCTTATTACTGTTACTTTGCCTACTTTTGTTTTGTATATGTTGTTTGCTTGCTTAATATTATTTTTGCCCTGTTCTTTTCTTTTCTTTCTCTTTTTATTGTTTATTGCAAAATTTGTCATTTCTGTTTGTTAAGCATTTCAGCCAATTATGTTTAGTCATGGACAATGTCTCTACAATCAATATTTTAAACAAAGATACTGGTCCAAATAAATCAATATATAACAGTAAAAAAATATGTATTTAATAATGAAAATTATGGCAGAATTTATAACCTAGCAAAAATTATTTACTTTTTTATATATTATACTAGAGAAACAATTCTATTTGAAAAGGTATAAATCATTTTTAACCAACAATTGCTTTTGTATTTGTTGTTATAAGAACCAAAGTAAAATTATTGCTGAGTGAATCAACATCACTTTAATATGATTTGATTTCTGAGTGTAATTGAAAATTTTAAATTTATATCTCCAACTTGATTCAAAGTCATGAGACTACATTAAACTATTGCATATTATAAGAAATAAATCGTTTATAAATAATTTACTGTACATGCTACACAAATTCAATTGTTTGTCAAATATTTAAGTTTACTTCTGAAATGCATTCTCAAATTTAGAAAAATAAAAAAAAGAGGGAAAAACATGTAGGCTTCTTATAATGATAAGAGTGTTTTTATTAAAAAAAAATATATATATATATATATTACCTCCCACAAAAATAAAAAAAGCAAACAAATATAGAAGAAAAGTAATAAAAATAAGTGTGTGTGTGGGGGGGGGGGTAGGATGTCCAATGGCAGTAATAGAGAAAAAGGAACCAGAAAAAGGCAGAGAGCAATGGAGCAAAGATATTTATTTACACCTAAATTCTCACAGGCTTCCTGGATGAATGGAAAGCAAAACCGGTTAAGTTTACCAATAATTCTCGGGTTTCACCTCCCTCTGAGCATAAATCATTGATAGGCCAGAACAGAAAACATGTCACCAATCTGCACTGTTTAGTGTCTTCTAATCACCACATATAGCTTAATAGTTAAAACATTTGACCAAATGATGACAAAGTGAATTGCCATTTGCAGAACTTAAAATACAACATTACTGTGAAGTTGCAATTTAGAAAGCTATTAAAAAAGATCAATCAGAAAAAGAAGCCCTAAATGGTAGAAGTTAAATCTACTGTATTCACAATGGTTGGAATGACTTTCATATTGCAGTGACAAGACTGGAAAACTGTTATTGTCAACTCTAGGAAATTGTTCATTTGATAAAACATTTTTTGTAACTGTGGGATAGAAATAAAATTTCATTGGTTGACAAATTATGCAAAAAGGAAAGAAAAAATCTGATTTACAAAAAGAAAAAGAAAATGGCGTGAAGAGTAGCAAATTTGTATGTAATGTGTAATAATAACACAACTGAGAAGAAAATTCAAAAATTATAAGAATTTGTTTTTTCAGGTTAGTAGAAGTTCTGCAAAAAGGCAGTCAAGAAATGGAGGCTATAATAAAGAAATCAAGAAAAGTCTTTTGAACTTTTCTTGATTTATTGAATGTCATGTATATTAAAAAGATTTATGGAAATCCCATTACACATCTTTGCAGAAGAAACAAAGAAAAAAATAATATATTTTAATGTTCATTAGTAATATTCATTTATGAATGGTATATATTTCAGGGCAAGAATTTTGCAAATGACAAAGTTCCTTGTGAAAAAGATTCCAATTCTGCTTAGCCTTCCATTTTATTTTTAATTTGGTACATTAAAGAATGTAACAAACGCTTGTGGTTAAATACTGGTTGGTAAATATTTTTAACATTGAAGGTTAGACTAATTGTTATCACAAATTAATTGAATTCTTTTTACATTCACTAAAATCCATAATGTTTTCCTAACAAGACTTATTCCTTGCTAAGGTAAAGATATTTCTTCTGCAATGAAAGGTTGTCAACTATGTGCCAACTCTTCATTGGACAGAATAAATGTTGAGTAAACTTTCAAAGAACAATTTTAGCTTAAATGAATGCTGTTAATATATTGCACTTGATTTGGGATCATGATATTATTATATGCAACATGTAAAAGCTGACCAGTCTGGATTTTAAGGATAATCAAACAAATTTAGCTAAGAAGGTACTATATTTTATGGCGTGTAACCTAAAACATTTTAGAAAACTCACTAAAAATACTTGCATATCTTATAAAGAGAATGTAACAGACAGAAAAGCAATTTTTTAACAATTTTATATTTTAAAAGCAAAATGTCAAAGTTTAGAGAAAAAAAAATTCATTTAAGTTAATTTTACTTCTGTAAGTGAATATGTTTCATGTTTAAAAAACACCAGTCATTCTGGATCCTTCCTATCATATGCAATTTATAATCTAATAAAATTATTATCTACATAGAAATTGACTTACAATTTTCTGCATAAAAAATTGACCTAAAGTTTTGACTTATACAAACAGTGACTGATTAGCCTCTCAATACCGATAAAATGTAACTGACCAAAATACATTTGAGGAATAAGCAAAAAGATGTGAAGAAAAACTCCTGTAGGGAAATAAGAACATTCTGAATCTCCTTAAAGAGCATGAAATCTGCCCCAAAATGAACTTTAAAAGAATCTCAAAATGTAGCAAAATCTTCACAGTGTGAAAATTGAATTGATGCTGAAAAGAACATTTATTATTACTAAAGCACAATAGCTAATAAATTTGTCAATTTACTTGTATAGAGAGTTGGATTCTCAGTTGGTGCTCCTCT